TTTATCTTAAAACTCAAGTTTCTTGGTTAATTTGCTCTTGGTGTAAATCAAATACATTTGTGGAGTCGTTTAAATATGTTGGATTTTAAACTGTCATACAATTTTTTTCATCGATAGTCTGTAAATTAAAACCATAACTCTTATTTATTCAAATTGTATTAATATGTAAAGACCAAGTGTAACTTATATCATCGTTAAATCTTATCTTATAAAACCAGTGGAACTTCAAAATCGTTAAAATTCATGGCTCCCGCCGCATTGCGCGGGTACACAACTAGTATTTTATTCAAAAATAAAAACATTATCGTTTTTCTTAAAACCACATAAAATCGTATTATAACATCGACAAATGGACAAAATAAAACAAAACATTAAAATCGAGATGTATCTCGCTGTATTGTGCCAGTACCCTTATAGTATTATTAAAATATTCAATACATTTAATAAAAATATTATTTTTCTCTCTTAAACATTTATTTTCAATCTTTCTTATTCGTGGAGTATTAAAATAATATTTTTTTTCTTTTCTATTTAGAGATTTCTTTAAATTTGTAGATTTTTATATAATCTCTCTCCGTTTTCTCTATTTTAACATATAAGATAACATAGTTGTTGAAGCAAAAAATGTTGTAATCCTTTTTTTCCATTTTAGTATAGATGTTGAAGATGTTCTAAATTTTTGGACATTTTTGTTTAAATAAGTAAATAATTAAATTTTTAGAGATTAGTTACCTACGATTATCAAAATACAAAATAGGCTACTTATAATTGATTAGGAAGAGTTTATAGTAAAGAAACACTTAAATAATAACTGAAATATAGTTGTTATGTTTTTTATTAAAAAACAAGAATAAAAAAAGGTAGGAGGTTGTCTACCAAATGTGTATCTGGTAAGTATTTATTCAGTAAGAATTGTCACTGTCACTTATTTTATCATGTAACATTCTTAGGGGCTGTATGGTGGTTGTTGAATGGTTTGGTGCAGAATGGTTAAGTGTTGAATGAAATAATGTTGTTTGGGTAACTGTTCTCTGAATGACAACAAATTACCATTTTAACCCTCTGCCTATTTGCAACTGATTATGCTTTGCTTTCGATTAGTTTCTACTAGACAACAAGTATCTATATAAATTGGACATCTATTTTGGTTGATGATATCTTGCTAGTAAGAAAGAATTGCATCCAACCTTTACCACTTATCATTATTACTTGATCAATAAGCTCATCAATGAAGCATCATAGACAGAAACAAGCCACTGTTTCCTAAAATCATGTATCCACATAGACATAAACCTAGCAACATGATTAATTATACTATAATTAGGAAATAGTACCCAGATTAACCTGCTGATGCTTAAATAGTCTCTGCCTCTACAATTATACAACATGATTAACCTGCTTATATTTAAAAACAGTACCCATGGGGTCAAAGCCACTGTTTCAAGAAACCTCATCGTGTGATTGCAAGGTTTAAACATAAACATTGAAGGAGACGGTAGAGGAAACAGATGTAGGGAAGCGAGAAGATCGATTTTAGGGAAATACCTTAAGCGAACGACGACCGTGGAAGCAGATGGAGGGAACGGCAACCATCGAAGGAGATGAAGGGGAACGGCGACCGTGGAAGCAGATGGATGATCGCAGAAGGAGACAGTAGGCGACTGTGGGATTATCGCTGTAGGGGCGGCGACCGGAGACAGGCGAACTATGATGGAGGGAAGGCGATACGTGGGATGCGATGTGAAGAAGAGCGGCTGGAAGAGAGGGTAATTTTGGAACAATAGGGATCTGAACCATTTAGTGGAGCCTTGGACACAAAATGGTTAAGAGGCTTTTGTAACCATTAAGAGGTTAAATTTTTTTTTGCCAAACAGTCATTGCCTCTTACCGATTAAGAGGTCTCCTCTTAATGTAATCATTAAGAGCCAAACAAACAGCCTCTTAGAAATCAAAATGACTTGTTGACAAAAATATCTTATTGGTTAGTTTTAACCGGGTAAAAGCCTCTTGTTCCATTTATTCGATAAGATTCTTAGATGACCTTTGGTTTGTTGGGTTTTGACGGAATTTGAAGAAATTTGAATGTCTATTTGACCAAATTTCATTCTTATGTTTGGTTCGTTGTTTGGGTTTTATGCGGGATTTTGATATCCACATATTTGTGTTTTAACGGATGAAAATGTGAACCAAAAACAAAGAAAAAAGGTTGTTTCGATAAAGATGTAAACCTAAAACAGAGAAGCATTTTGTTACTCGATGAAGGTGGAACACAAATCCATTGATGAACCCAAAGTTGTAGTTGATGAAGTTTGTGGATTGAAAAACGAAACAGAACCCAACTGGCACCGTCGAGATGAAGAAACCAAAACACAAATGGACACTATTCATCAGACTTTCCGGGGGAGGGGACAATGGGCCTCATTGAGGTGTGAGTTGTAGGTGCGGGTGGGGGTTTCGTTAGAAAAATGGGTCTCTGTAAGAAATAAGGAAATAAGGAAGTTTGTGAGAAAACACAAATCGAGAAGGGGTGGACGGTGGTCATAAGTGGCAGTGTTGTGTATCAAATTCTTCATTGTCTCTTTGCATTTTGATTTGGTGGTGAAGTTTTTCAGATAGAGGTCATACGATGCGAGTAAATCAAGTTGGGAAGATAGGGATAATTTTGTCTTTTTAAGAAAATGTGATAGAACGAAATTCAATTCCTTTTCAATTGTTGATGAAATGACCAAATCCGTGAATCATGGAATGCTTAGAATCCAATTCCATTCTATAGTTAAACCAAAGGCCATAATAACATTTAGTCAGCGAAATTGATCATTTAAAATCATTCAGGGGGTGTTTGGGACTGCTTATCTAAAATAACTTATACTTTTTTGTAAAAGTGTTTACCAATTTATGTGGTGGTAATTGGAATTTTATAAAAAGTACTTGGATTAGCTTATGATGGTACCATACCGATTAAGCTGATAAAATATATGAGATACCATTTTCTTTCTCCATCAAAACACTAAAAACTCCTTATTACCGGTCAGAATAAGTTAATAAGTTACAAAAGAGTAACTTATCAAAAATCCTTATTATCGGTGTTAAACCGATATAAGTATTATTTTTCTTGTTTTTATCCAAACACTAAAAACTTCTTATTACCCGTATGACAACAAAATAAATTAATAATCACTTTAATAAGCAATCTAAAACATCCCCTAAGATTCCTTCGAGCAAACCAAAAGCCCCCTAAATTCTTTTGGTTTTCAAAAAGACTATATTGCCCCTGCCCTTGTTCTAATCAACTCAACTAGCCTTTCTCATGAGTCGACCAGTTTGTTTTGTTCTCTAGCTCTTCTTCTCTCGATTCGATTTGCAGCAGCAAAGGTACATTTACTCTTGGTCTCATTTGATTTGCTTCTTCTTCTCCACCCCCTATCTACAACTCGATCTTTGATTTTGATGTCTTCTTCTCGATATTCTTTAGGGTTTTGCTAGGCAACGACAACCTACAACAGAGGTACAACTCGGGTTTACATCTTCTGGTTCGATTTCCATATAATGATTTGGTTTACATCTTCTACCTTGATTTGCTTCTTAAGTTTACATTTTCTTATCCTAAACAGACTCCCAAACTGCAGTAGTGATTCTCATCGGCAAAAAGAGTGATGATTAAAATACCAAGAATAAATTCATTGACCCACTGAGTGAAACAAACTATGACACTAAGAATAGATTTATTTTTTGCGGAAAATCGATGACTACATCGAAGAATGCCTTGAAATGCTGTGAATGGAATAATTTTTTTTCGAAAAATGTACGATAATTATGAATTTGTCGAATATAGAATTGTATTCATTTGGTAGTTTTCTATTGATGATGTAAATCATTTCTGAAACTCGTTGCTCTAGCCTCTAGGAACACAAACTAAGTTCTGTTAGCTATAAATTCAACTGTTCGTGTTCTGAATGAAAAGTATTTGGGAATGCTGGGTACACTTGGAACTGGTTGTCTGGTTTGTATGGATTCTGTCACTCTTTCATATATGTGAACTGTTGTATTCGTTGTTTTGATGTCGTATTGTGATCTGAGTATTTGACGAATCGTAGTTCTGCTGGACCAAGATTCATCTAGTATCTTAATAAATAAACCTGATATGACAGTGTAGCTCATTGTTTCAACAAAACAGAAAGAACCCCAGTAAATAGTAGTAGAAATGTTCATATATTATGGGGTTATTTGAATGTTCTTATTTGGTTCAGAATCATGTCCCTAGGTATACCTTTATGCAATGTTCCACTGTCATAACAAGATGTTCATGATTGAGGGGCTTGTTAGTTTTGATTTATAAAATGACAATAGGTATCAACATCCCTTGTTATAGTTTAGGAGAACGGAAGGGGGGGGGGGGGTAGTGAGCAACATGGGTCATGTGCACCACTTGTTCCTCTTGTATCTGTATGTATGGGCACCCGTTTTGTTGTTCAGTTTCATCATATTCAAGATTGAAGCCCGCAAATTTGATTAACCACGAGTATGTGTTATACATGGAGGGAGTGGAACAATAGAGCCCATCACCACGATCAGCTTTCGGCTGCATTGATTTGGAGATCATTCTTATGCTTATGGGGGTGTTTGATTTGGACTTTAAAGAATTTATAGCTTCATTTATTAAGCCATATGGAGGCATTTGATTTCAGCTTGCCTTACTGTTAAAGACACGACTTAATTCAGTCAACCCGTTGATGCCATCTTAATCCATTCAGCCAACTTTTTTCCCAAAAAGTACCATCTTTTTCTCCCTTCCTTTGGTTCTTGCATTTATGTTAACCCTCCAATTTTTCTGCCTCCATCTCGAAAGGAAAGAAGAAATGAAAGCCCAACGGTTATGTATTTCTATGTTTTTCTGATAAAAAAAGTTAAGATTTGATTTTGATTTTGGCTAGAATTTACACTTGATTTTGTGTATGTGATTCCAATATTTTGTTATTGTCTTCTAATATCTTATTTAAATTTATTAAATTTGATAGTATGTTGTTAAGGTTAAAATCGTAATTTATGTCATTTAGTTGAAAAACAGACAACAATTTATCTTAATTCATCCAAATAGCTAATCACTAGAACCGGCTTAATCTATAGAAGGGTTAATAGAAAAAATATCAAACAGCCCCTAATTGTGAATTTTCATGAGATTTGGGCAACCTAGTCTCCAAGAACAGGGTCTTGTTTGAGTATGTGATTATTCTGCAATGCTTGCTTCTAATCTTTCTCCGAATATGGTTATTTTAGCTGTTTTATTTTTGTTCAGCAATTTCACAAATTTCCCACAAAAGATGGCCTCCAGAATAGCGCAAATCCGATTAGTCAGTTCACATCCTCAAGTTTACGAACCATGTGACGATTCATTTGCTTTGGTTGATGCACTCTTGGCTGATCGGAAAAAGTTGTTAGACCACCGCCCAACAATTTGTATGGAAGTTGGCAGCGGCAGTGGTTATGTAATTACTAGTCTCGCTCTTATTCTACAAGAAATAAAAACCGCCTATTATTTTGCCACCGACATCAATCTGCACGCCGTAAGAGTGACTCACGAAACGCTAGAAGCCCATGGGGTTCATGCAGAGTTACTAACAACCAACATTGCCGCCGGGCTAGAGAAGAGATTGGCGGGACTGGTTGATGTGATGGTGGTGAACCCACCTTATGTTCCAACACCGGAGGAAGAAGTGGGTGGTGACGGGATTGCTGCCGCCTGGGCTGGCGGAGAAAATGGGCGGAGTGTTATTGATAAGATTTTACCGATTGCTGATAATTTGTTATCTGAGAAAGGCTGGTTGTATATGCTGTTTCTTGCAGCTAATGATCCATTGCAAATATGCCTTCAAATGAGAGAGAAAGGTTATGCTGCAAAAATTATTGTCCAAAGAGCAACAGAAGAAGAAAGTTTACATGTAATAAAGTTTTGGCGTGATTCGGATATTCGAATGGAAGGAAATGAAGCAGTCACGATAGCGAAAAATAGGGGATGGGAGTTTTTGCTTTCGCAGCTTTCTCGATTGTCATTCCGAAGATAAGGCGATAACAGTTCTTATCGAAGGGGTTTACCAATTTTTTTGATCAAGAGCGGAATGGTTGTTTACCAAGGTGTTTTGAATTGACAGCGTGAATGATAGAAAATTTACCATTGTAACGCTTTGTTTGATTTAAGTAAATGACAAGTGACATTACATGTGGGATAGTTGGATAGTTAGGTTCAAATAAGAACAATAGACAAACAAGAAAATAAAAGAACGGTTAAATCACATGTTATTTTGCACTAAATTATGTGTAAAAATGAAATGTAATTTGTGCAACTTTGGCTGCGATCTAGTTGTGGGCCAAGTCGCACGTATACCTCTTGCATTGACGGTGTTCCATAATTGTCAAGTTGCGCACATACCTCTTCCATTGACTATGTTCCATGATCATATGTGATTTAAGTGGAAAATCACATGTGTTTTGGTCGTTCTTGTGTTTTCTTGTTTGGGCAAAATGTATAAAATAACAATCTACTTTCATTAATTTTTTACTACAGTAATGTACTTTCAGTTTTTCTTATTATAACAATGTATTTTTAAACTATTTTTTATTAGGACACTGTACTTTGAAAAATTTACCTACTATAGCATTGGGTAACCTTTTGATTTAAATTTACTCATTATACCAGGTTCCCATGCCACCTCATTGTCCACGTAGGCTGTCCACATGTATTATATTGATGTGACTTTCTTGCTACATCATTGTACTTTCAAAATTATTTTATTATAGCATCTACTAGTTATTATTAAACATTGTATTTTTAATTTTATTATTTAGATATTTTACATGTTATTTAATAAATATATTAAATGAATTAAAAAATTTTAAATTATTCATTAATATACCAATATCAATAAAACTAATAGAACATAACTTATCTCACTAATATTTTTTTAAAAATGTGTCTTTTTGAAAAAAGGAAAATAATAATTGTTTTTTTTTACCAAAAAATATTATCTTTTAAGAATATGTTATATTTGTTCAAAAAATTTACTTGACTAAGGGGCCGTTTACCAACATTTTTTGTTAAGTGCTGATTGAGGTAAGAGGTCTGACTGTGGTAAGAGGTCTGACTGGAGTAAGTGCTGATTGGATTTTCCTGTTTACCAAACATTTTTTATTAAGTGCTGATTATGTCAAAAAGACTATTATGTC